GCCTCCCAAAGTGCTGGGATTACAAGCGTGAGCCACCGTGCCTGGCCTCTCCTTCTAAATATGTCTGCGTTCCTAAACCATTTATCCAGTGATTACTGCATTTTATTTATTTTGTGGGATATCTTTAATTTCATTGGTACTGATATTTTAAACTATGATTATTATATTAGTAATGGTACTTATATAATGATTCCACTTTTACTTCACTAGGTACTTTTTAATGTTTCAAATGTCTTTCAAATAACAGTTTTACTTTTAAAACACCTCCTTGTATGTGTTTACAACTGATATAAATGGAAAGAAATAAGAACTTAACACAATCTATATCTGTTACTATAGTTACTGCTACCAACATTACTATTGTTAAAAAGCTGTATCGTGGATATAAGATAACATAGTAAAAACCAAGGCCTTAACCGATAACTTCTCTTATTGTTATTATTTCTTAAGTCATAATGCTACTCTATAACAATCAAATAGAGTAAACAATGATTGCAAGACAATGACTGAAGGATGAATGATATGCCTTCCATGGAAAAATAGGTATCAGAAGTTGTTCATGTATCTAACATTTTCTGTTTTAAATGAAATATTGAAAAGATTGGTTTTAACTCCAGTTGTTTATCCAGATGTGCTCAAAGGAGAGATGTCTTAACGGAAAAGCGTGACTGAAGCATAAATGGAAACTTTCCTCAAAGAAGAGATCTGGAAAGGTTACGGTGAACCACAGCCACTGAAGCGTACTACATATTTCTGTGCTCTCTGCTTTCTTAACTTGTGAGATGTGACCCGATTTTTTTCTCTTTTATTCAAGGTCATCACTAAACTTACAGAAAACCAAAAAGAAAATACAACGAAGGAGGCACAGACAAAGAAGAGTTTAGATGCGTATTTTAAAATACCAAAATGGTTTAAAATAACTTACAATGAAAGGGTCACTTAAGAAGGGCACTGCTTAAAATTTAAGCAGGCGGTAATGGAAAGCGACAGACCTCAAACAATTTAAGCCTTTCACAGTTGAGTGAATTCACAGTGACAGCAAGACGAGGATGTGCTAACTTACCTCTGCAGGACCTTGGCTATGGCTTCATAGGCTCTCCCCAGGCTGAGATCATCATCCAGTTCTGTGGAGATTTTACAGTAAGTGTCAAGGACCTATCAGGAAGAGAAATACAGATTGAACATATAGCACAGCCAGATACACTGATGTTTCATTTCATAAGAGAAAAACTTAAAATTAATACTTGTTTTTAATGTCTATAAAAAATTTTATTGATTAAAAATTCATGTTGGTTTGGTTTATTTTTATCTGTAGTATAACTTGTTTTGTGGCAATCTCTTTAAGCCATGACAGTAAGGCCTTACTTTTGGATAAAATAATTCTTTTCTTGCACAATTCCCCAAATCTTCCAACTTATATAACTTAGGCATGAATAAATAATTGAATGGTTTTTACATTATTTTAAAATATGGGACTATTATCTAAGGTAATATAAGGCAGATTATAATATTCTACTATGATAGCTTAAATATCACTTTTCTTTCTATAAATAGCTATTTCAAAAACATGAATTTAGGTACCAGGCAATTTCTAAATCTATCATTTTATTAGATGCATAGCTCACAGTTTGTGCATGTATACAGTTTACACTAAAAATATTTCTTACAAATGTATTTCATTACCAACAATCTCTTCAATAATCAAAAGATTACAGCTGCCACAGCCAAACATGTGATCTCAATTTAATTTAACACTGACATCATCTGTATGGTATAATTTTCCCTTTTCCTTTTTTCCCTCTTTCAATGGCCGGAAGGAGAAAAATACGTAAAATAGAATCCCCGTTCTTCCTTTTGCCTTCATTATTACATGACCCAACCTATTACACACATGAGGACACAGGAAATCTCGAAAGACCTCTATGGAAATCCTTTTTGCACATTTTCTAAGAAAGAATTAGCAAAAGTCATTTGATGGCATTTGGAAGACAGAGTCAGTGTGAGGGACGACATAAAAACACCTTGTCTGTTACTGCCTGAATCAGGCAGCCTAGAAGGTTTAAGTCTGAGCGGCAGGGTTGATATTTTGTTTGCTTTCTTAGTGTCAATATTTGGGAAATAATTTCAATGAGGCTATTGTGACACTTCATAAAATTTGAGTTTCATGTGGTTTGCAAGTGACTGCTTGACATAATGCTGTTGTTAAAACTTATGGCTATATATTGACTCAGGGTTTTAATTCCTGCTAAAACCACAAAGTTCAAAATTTGGGGATTTTTTTTGTACTTTAAAAATGTATCTATTTTTAATAAATAATAACATATCTATCACCTCACCAAATTACCATTTAATGTGGTAAGAATGTTAACAATGTATTCTTTTAGCAATTTTGAAATATACATTATTATGACCTTTGATTTTCATTTTCAAGTCTCCTAATAACCCTGTGTAAACCTGAGAATATTCTTTTCACCCTGTCTTACACAACAAGTAGCACTTAGATCTAATCTGATATGAATTGACGTAGACCTTTCTGAGTTAAAGGGCAGTGCCTCTGAATTTTGTGAATTTATAAGAGATCTTTTGGAATCCAAATATCAAAATATTTAGGAAGAGACTTTCTGGTGTCTTTTTAAGGTACATATAATTTATATGACATTCTAGAAGTTTAAAGTAAAGATCGAATATAATTATATTTTCTGCCAAAATAGTTCATTTGTTTTTTTCAGCAAATACCGTTATTGTGTCTCAGGCACTATGTTAGACCACAGGATCTTAAGTAGATGAGAATATGCCTGTAACCCTAAAGGAATTTACAGTTCAGTGCTCCAGATTTTGGACTGATACAACTATGTGAATTAACAATGACTGAAGACAGGTTTTTCCAGGCCTAAAGTTGTGCTTATACTGCACCACTCTCTCATGGCTCTGATCTCCATGGGCTCTGAAGCACGTGGCAACAATCAGAGGTGCCCAATTTTATCTGTGAGGTGTGACTCTTCAACCCATGGATAGAAGGGTAGGTTCCCAAGAAAATACAAGTAGATACTTCAGTGTTGATGGCTCCTATCCCACACCACTGTGCAATAATTCCTGGGAGCAGAGGGGCAAAAAACAGCTTTGGCCTTGTACTTGATTCCATACTAGCTTCCCCATGGAGACAGATGTGGCCTGCTGAAATGAAAACTAACCTTAGAATAAGAATACTTGGATTCATGTGCTAGCCTTCCATACCCAACACATTTGGGCCAGGAAATCTCTTTAAGTTTAATTTCCTCATAGTAAAAAAGAAAGTCTACCTCTGAGAATGTTGTGGCACTGTGAGATAATATAAAGTGCTATGTAGATATTAGGACAAGAATTCTTCGGGAACCTGTTAATTAGCCACCAGTGAACAGCTCCGGGTAGGAGTGTCCCTCCTCAAAGTAAAGACAACTGATCTTTTTTGTGCGTTGAGAGAGTGGAGAGAGTGTGGGTATTTCCTTAAACAATTTACAGAAAAACAGGAAACATATAGGCAGTAGGACAAGTATAGTTCATTATTGACCAAGTAGGGAAAATGTCAATCACATGAAATTCACATGAAGGTCTTGCAAAGGAACTGCTCTAAATCAAAGACACACCCTCTGCTCCTCAGGAACATGAGCTGCAGTGGGAGAGAGGAGTGCATACAGGTGGAGTCATAAAAAGATTACTAGACAAAACACAGTGGATTGGCAAATTGTGTAGTTCAAACTAAAAAGCAATAAAATGAGTGGAAAAATAATATGTTACTACAAATTCTGTAGAAGATACAGATGTTTTAATTTACAAGAAAAATTCAACCCTATTAAAAAGTGGGCAAAGAAGGTGAACAGACACTTGAAAAGATGACATGCATGTGGCCAAAAAGCATACAGATAAAAGGTCAGTATCAGTGATCATTAGAGAAATGCAAATCAGAACCACAATGAGATACCATCTATCATCAGTCAGGATAGCTATTATCAAAGTCAAAAACAACATATGCTGGTGAAGGTTGTGGAGAAAAGAGAATGCTTATACACTGTTGGTGGGAATGTAAATTAGTTCAACCATAGTGGAAAACAGTGTGGCCATTCCTCAAAGGGCTAAAAACAGAACTACCATTCAACCCAGCAATCCCATTACTGGGTATATACCCAGAGGAATATAAATCATTCTACCATAAAGACACATGCGTGCAAATGTTCATTGCAGCACCATTCACAATAGCCAAGACATGGAATCAACCTAAATGCACATCAATGCACACTGGATAAAGAAAATGTGGTACATATGCACCATAGAATACTATGCAGCCATAAGAAAGAATGAGATCATGTCCCTTGCAGCAACATGGATGCAGCTTGAGGCCATTATCCTTAGTAAACTAACACAGAAACAGGAAACCAAATACTGCATGTTCTCACTTATAAGAGGGAGCTAAATGATGAGAACTCATGGACACAAAGAGGGGAACAACAGACACTGGGGACCTGCTTGAGAATGGATGGTGGGAGGAGGAGGAAGACCAGAAAAGATAACTGTTGGGTACTAGGCTTAGTACCTGGGTGATGAAATAATCTGTACAATAAACCCCTGTGACACAAGTCTACCTATATAACAATCCTGCACAGGTACCGCTGAACTTAAAATAAAAGTTTTTTAAAAAGATACAGATGTTTTATACGGCTTTATAGCAGGCAACTTTATCTGCTTAAAGCAGGTAAGGTATAATCTACAAATTAATAAATACTGATCAACTTGAATCACTAGACAAAGAGTGGAAGGACTTTTACAAAGAATACTTCAAGTATTATAAGAAAATACAGTGTGGCGATCTGAGGGGTGCACTGCACTTGATTGACTATCCCTGTGGCAGACAGTATGTTGGAAACAGAGCCAGGATTGGGATGGTTAAAATCTAGCATTGCAAATCAGAGATAGGTAAAAATAAAGGATCCCCAGGTACAAATATTTTGATGAATTGAAAATATATACAATATAAAAATATAAATGAATTTATCTATCTTTAAAGTTCAAGGGAACTAACTTAACCTTTGTCAAAAGACAGAGGAGAACATTAATTTAGCGTGCTACTGTGTAAGTTTCAATGGACACCAAACGACATGATACCAAAGTTACCAAAGTTGGCAAAGCCAGTTTATACACCTCATAAGAATTGAGTGCTACATGGCCACTCTATCCAATTGCTCCAATAATTTCAGTGAGTAATGAAAATGAAGCTTTGAAAACAATTTCTATGACTTCAAAGAAAACAGACTATCTTCTTACCAAAATGAAATAGATGTACTTGGTAAAAACATTTTCAAATAAAATCCAAAGTTCTTAAAATAAAATAATTGCTATTGGTCACCT